TCTAACTCTTCAGCGTATTCTTTGCTGGTTGCGCGTGAGTTTATTGTTGATTTATATAGACCTATCGTGCTTACTTGCTCGTACATGTCGCTAGTGTCTAATCCTTCAATAATATTGGCATTATCGCAATACAAATATCCTTTTCTTATGTATTCTACGAATACAGAGTTTCCTTCTAATGGTGTAATATTTATTTGCGCGGATACTATTCCGGCAAAGAGGAGTGTCGACCTGGAAAGTAAGGTTTTAAACGATTACCGCGTATCTTTTTGTCTTGGATAAGATAGTATGGAGTGCACACTTTATCAACCGTGTATAGTCCTAACCATTCCACATCGAGTTTAGGCTTTTTATGATCGTTATGTACTAAAACGGAGTCTCCTTCTTTGAAAACTGATTGAGGTTTTATAATTTTACGTTTTTGGTCGCCCTGATATCGCTGTTTGCTTTTGATCAATGTTTCGCGAGCGTGTTGAGTATTCTTGGATATTGTGGAGGGGAGATTGGCTTGATGTCCGAATGTGAGTTCGAATGGCGTGGAACCAATGGAGTCGTGTATCATCGTGTTATATGCAAGACATATAAAGTTAAGTTGATCGCCCATTCGTCATCTGAATTTCGCTGTATCGATTGTAACATGTCGGTTACTACTGCGTGTGTTCGTTCTAAAGATCCGGTACTCTGTGGGTGGAAGGATGTCGTTTTGATGTGTTTGATTTTTATCGCGTCTTCGAGCTGTTGCATCAAACTAGATATAAAATTCTGTCCGCGGTAGGTTAGTATCTTTTTTGGGGCGGAAAAGATATAAATGTTATAATTCAAGAGTACGTTCCAAGTTATTTCCATTTGCTTTAGTGGCACGAGTATCAAGTATTTTGTCAGTTCGTCATGTATGGATAGAATGTACTGATTACCATTCTTTGTCTTTTTCAATGGGCCTAATAAGTCCATAGCAATTTTATCGTTTGGTTCGAGGGGCGTGTCAGTGATACAAGACTCTTCACGCGGTCTGATACGTGTAGTTTTAGATGTTTGGCAGGTGTCGCATGATTCTACGTGTTGTTGTGTGCGTTTCATCAAATCTGGTACTCTGTGGCGTTCACGAATGCGGTCGTATGTCTTTTGTATACCGGGGTCTCCTACTAAATCGTGATTTTCTCTTAATAATTCGTCTACTTCTTCGTCGCTATATGTTTGGATTGGTTTCCATGCAAGACTTAATTCTTTCGCGGTAACGTTCAGGAATAATAAAATTCCTTTGATCGCGTTCTTCTCGGTTTCTGTGAAACTGTCGTCGCCTATACCTATCTTCTCGTTGTATGAATAATTTCGTTTAGTTTGGTTAACCATTTAATTCTGTCGTAATTTCCTAGCTCTGTTTTTTATAGTTGATAGAAAGATTTACGGTTCGGAGTCATTTTGAGAATTTTGGGTAACACGTCGGTAGATTTTTCCCAATCGTGATTTTTTTTATCGAGTTCTTTGTTTAAATTTTCGCATCGTCTGATCAGAACATGTATTCTAGATAGCGTGTCGGCTGCAGTATTATCTTTTTCTTTCGTATATTCTATATCGTACTCGTATTCCTCTAATTTTAGTCGTCATCTCATCAGGCGTGGTGAGGGGTCTTTGCAGTTTTGTAGCCATTTTAGCGCTTGATGGTCGGTTCGAATAGGGAATTTCCAGAAACAGATATTGTCGGAAACGTTTCACGGCCCATACGATTGCTAAAAGTTCTTTTTCAGTTGTGGAATAATTTCGTTGCGGTGGATTTAGATTTCGTGAGATATAACAACATGGATGTCCGTCCTGTGATAAGATAGCACCTATGCTTTCGTTACTGTAGTCGGTCGTTAATGTGAATTGTTTTGTAAAGTCTGGGAATTTTAGTACGGATGATGAACAGAGTTTGTCTTTTAACGTCTGGAATGCTTCATGGGTTTTATCTGTCCAATGAAATGGTGTCTCTTTCTTTGTAAGTTCAATCAATGGTTTCGCGATTTTAGAAAAGTTTCTGATGAATTTACGGTAATAACCTGCTAGTCCTAAGAAAGATTTGATGTCTGTGGGATTACGTGGCTATTTGAAGTTACTAACGGCTTCTAATTTTTTGGGATTTGGCTTTACACTTTCGGCGGTTACTATATGTCCGAGATATTCTAGTTCTGGTTTGAGGAATTCGCATTTGTCTGGCAGTATTTTGAGTCCGAATTCTCGTACGCGTTGCAATACTATCGCGTGGTTGCTATTGTGCCTTGAATCGACTGTCCGAATATTATAATGTCGTCTAAATACACAAAGCAATGTTTATTTGTGAGCCTTCTTAGCGTGGTATCCATCATGCGTTGGATTCCATCCATGCCATGGAATGGCATTCCATTGTAGTGGTAATGTCCTTGTGGTGTAGAAAACGATGTGTATTTCTTAGAGTCTGTGTCCATTGGATTTTGGTGGAATACGGAGGATAAATCAAGTGCTGAGAAGAATTTTGCGTTGTCTAGTTGGGATAGTATGTCGCCTATGTCGGGTAATGGGTATGCGTCTTGGTCAGTTAGCTCGTTTATTTTTCTAAAGTCTATTACGATTCGCTATTTTAGTTTCCCTGAGGCGTCTGCCTTTTTTGGTACTACCCAGACTGATGAATTGTAAGGGGAATCTGATGGTTCTATGATGTTCTTTTGTAGCATTTCGTCCATTTGTCGTTTAATTTCCTCTTTGTGGCATTCGGGTAGTCGGTGGGATTTTGTGTTAATGACTTCATTCTCTTTTAACGTTATTGTGTGCTTAGCACATGGTTAGTACATGGTAAAAGGTCAGTCCCTAGATTGAATACGTCGAGGTAAAACAGCAATATCTTTTCGATTGGTTCACGGAGAGTTTTTTCTATATGCGAGAATCTGACTATATCTATAAATGTGGAGACTTGATCGTATGTATTTGAATTTTCGATAAGATTGGTTATTTTGGCTAAGCACTCACCACCATTGATAAAGCATATCGTTGTCGATTTTCCTTCCAGGTATACTGTCTTTGACACTGCTTGTTTTGGAGGTACGTCGTTTTCCTGTTGCAATAAAAGAATATATTATCGTCAAGTTTTAGTTGTTGATTCGAGAGTTCAAATTTGAATTTAGATAGGACTGGCAAACCGAGTATGCCATCCTCTATAATTGGAAAGTTATCATCTACTACAAACAATTATAAAGTTTTATCGAATAATTTTACAAAGGCGTGTTCGCTAGTCTTAAATCTCGAGTGTCCCATAGATAATTTTCGTTCTCTTACTGTTCTTGGTTGTAATACACATCTTCTCTTCAGTATGTAAATTCCTGCTCCGCTGTCAGCGAGGAATTTATGTTGTCGTCCGTTGGATCGTAGAAACACTGTGGGTAGTCTTCCTGTTATGGCGTTAATTCGTAAGTCTGGCCTATTGGTTCCTTTGTTTCTTCTTTGCGTGTCTCGAGGTTGTGGACTGCTCGTGGTCTCGGATGTTAGCTGGATGTTTGAAAATTTCTACGATGACTGGAGACATGCTCGACTTGATTGCATTTGAAACATTTCAGTTGAGTTCTTTGGGCAAGTGGCATTCGTTAAGCTTGCCGGAAGTTTCATGGCATTGCATTAGGTGTTGGAGTTGGTTTTCTAATGGTTGTGTTGGGATTATTGGTCGTTGGTCGTCGCTGCTCAGGGAATCGTGGTCGTTCCATTGGTCTTGGTCGTCGACTTCGATCTTCCCTGAAGTATCGCTCGATGTCGGTGGCTTTCTTTTCGGCTTCAAGGATATTGTATGGTGGATTGGCGAGTAGTAATTGTCCTATTTCGCTTTCCAGGCCTTGAATGAAATCGGTTACGGAGACTCTTAGAATTCTATCGTTTATTGCTCGTCTAGTAATTTCATCAGAGTATTCGTTTGTTATTCTATATTGTAGTTTATTGAACATTTTCGTCGTAACGCTGTCTTGTTTCACGTAGGTGGTCTTGTTGTTCCCTAACGGAGGCGTGGGTGGCTTCGTTTCGTCGTAGGGCATCGTACAGGTGTCCGTATTCGCTGATCGCTATTGCGGATGGCCATTGCGGCTTTACCCGTAATTTTCTCGATCTTGATCATTTTGAGTAAGAGTGGCTGTTCGCCACACATGGCTCGCATTTCACGTACTTCGCGTATGAACTCTTCTACTCCGATATCGTCTTCGCCGTTTAACTGTGGAATACATGCTATCGCGGCTTTGGCTCGTAAGCTCGGAGAAGCGAGTTGCGGTAAACGGTCTTCATAGGAGGGATGGTTGACCGCTTCCGGTCGAATCGGGGCGGATGATGGGGGAGTTCTGTCACTCGCGGTAATAGATTCATCCATGGTAATAAGGGAGCCTAATTCTGTAGTAGCGTCGTGTCCTATTTTTATTTTAGATATATTTTTGCCTAGTAGTTCTATTTTTGCTGTACGTCTCTTGTTTTCACTGTCGGCTATCCATTATGTTTTTTCTGTACGTCGCTTAAGAAGTTCAATTTGTTTAGTGAAATTCTCGTTTTGTTTCTGCATCGCGTCGAGTATGGCACGAGTCGGATTATCCATAGCTCAGGTTGTAGAAGCGGTATTAATAGTTTAGATTTTGTCTCTTCGCGGTGTAGACATGATTCTAATTGAGCTTATTGATTCTGAACTATCGTTGCCATTTGAGCTCGAAACACTTGAGAAACTTGGTTTTCTCGCACGGTAACGTACAAATGAATCCAGATTTCCAGCTTACCGTAGTAGCTATGGCTGTTGAGGCGTCTCTGGTGTGTTTCCTCTCTGGTCGGTTCTAGATTCGGAATCTTATACGTAGGCTTACTCTGCGCTGACCGTAGTCCTCTCGTCTAGCTTCACCGTAGAGGAACGTTGAAAGTTGTTAGGGCTTCGTAGTAGCAAATATTCGCAGTGGTCCGCTGATCATTCAATCTTCAACGATACGCATACGCCGAAATCGTGATTTCGTTTCCACTGAAGCGAATGGATCCTGACAGGGTTGCCAAAAATGTCTCGTAAAAATTCAACAAGTAGCTGAAGAAATGTCAATCTCCAAACAGGAGATCGAGTTCTTTATTTCCACTCAATTTATACAATGATTAAATGGTAACCCTTTATTGTATTTGCCGTTCGCATCGATAGACTTTTAATATTGAGGTTGGCTCGACCTTATTCAGACTGACTTGGATGATTTTGGGGTGAGTATTTATATTATTTAATCGTTGGAGTGGGGAAAGACGTTGGTCGTACTTATCATATATTTCTCAGAACGGATAGAGTGACCGGGTGCTACCCCGGCGGTCACTCTTGACAAGGCGCTTGGAATTTACTATCTTATCGCATAATTAGTCGAATATCACCTGTCACACAGACTAGGACGCGGCGAGCACATAGGCATGCTGTTGCAGGAGTCTATTTCTTCTCTTCTTCTTCGCACGACTAGCAGGACTTTAGTATGCATCTACGTTCTTGCCTGTTTATGCAGGTGTAGAAATACGTGTAGTGTGGGTAAGGCTCATCATTTTAGCTTCAAGAACCACTCCTTAAATTTGTTTGTACCTCTAATAGAATACCTTGTATATAGTATTAATTTTTATATAATTAGCGTGATGAACCGCTTGCACAGGTTCAATAAACTACGCACTAAATTATACACAATATAACACTATATTTTATATATAGTATATATACTATCTTAGAGTATATTGTACTCTATACTATGTGGCTACCCATGGCTGTAGAAAAAGTTCCAGGATTGAAGTACATGTATTGGCCACATGCCCCACGAAACGACGTCCGAGGATAGGACTACGGTCACCGGGATTTGAAGCCGGGTCCCGAACGTTCTTAATCTAAGGCGCTAACGACAGCGCTGCTGTCGTCCGACAATGATTGCTGTCGAGTGCCGCCACATATGTGAAACGTTCGAACTGCAGCACTCGCTATGCTCGACTGATGAACAAACCAGGCAGCAAAGATCGGATTGCGTCGATCCGGCTCAGTATCGGCCATTTGGCGAATTAAAATTAATGCCGATTGCGCTGCCGATACTCTGATTGTACAGTTGATGCATGAGCCCCTCCATTAAGGGGAAAATTATACAGGATCTTTTGACATGCTCCCTGAATGTATCAACGTCGGTGGATGATCTGCAACCAATGGCGCACGCGTGTTCTCACAGTGCGGACGGGGTCTTACAAGGGACTTCCATGGCATCCGAGCTATTGGAAGTCTTCTAAAAACATGTAAAGAAACATTTATTAAAAAAAATCAGCCAGGGAATTGTTATCATCTTGGTATAAAGAAAGCTACTTTAAACCTAGTTCAATCTATAAGTATTTATTTTGTTAATAGGAATAAAATTCAAATTAAACTTAATGCTGACAGTCACCTATTATGGTAAAGTTCTAGTAACCAAGTGTATCCAATTCTTTGTAGTATCACAAGATATAAAAATGTTCATGAGGAGTAAGTGTTGTCCGTGATACTTGTAGATGCTGGCTGTAGATGTCGCTGATAGGGTACTGCTATTTTTCTTCTAATTTAGATGCGTGGAAGAAAAATCGGACTCTGGTCGCCGGGATTTGAACCCGGCACCCGAACATTCGTAACCTAAGGCGCTAACCACTGTGCTGCCGTCGTCCGACACTGGTTAGTGTCGAGTGGTGGTATTTGCTGTTGAGTGCCGCCACAGTACCCCCTTACCAGCGATAACGTTTCTTCTTAGTGTGGTAATGCGTCAGCCGATTGTTGTCAAGCCCGTGTAGATGTTGCGCGTTGTCTTCGACGTGGCGGTGGATACCTGTCCGTATGGTGCGGAGCGTTCCGCGTACGATCGTAGGCCTCTGTTCCTCTTTTTAGTATGACGTGCTGGTGGTGATGCCCGTGAACTTTGCAATGGCTACATCACCCCTGGCTGGATCATCGTCTCGTATCCTGTCACCTGCTTGCGTAGCTCGGCGGTGGGGCGTCGAGTTTTGCTGAAGGGAGGGCTGTTCCGTGTGCTCCGTAGCGGTAGATCCAGATCGCCACAGTCTTAGATTCGCGATGATCTCTAGTAGCGCTATCACGGTCGCACACCTCTTTCTCGCTGTCGATCACTTCGGGGTCACCAGTGGCGGTATTTGTTGTCGAGTGCTGCCATATTGACATGGTTGATATCGATCATAGTTAGCAAAAACCAAAATATATGAATTGTTTCTGTACGATTTTGTTAAAGAAGTACCTTCTCAGTAATAAATTTTTAAGTAATGAACATTTATATTATTTACATAAAAAATTTTTTATTCGTGATGCTCCTGCAAAATATTTAATTAAATGTATAAAAGGTCATACCGAATACCATTCTTGCATAAAATGACAATCAAGGAGATTATATTCATAATGCTTTCCTGTTCTAAATTATGTTTGTTCAAGAATTGATTTTGAGTTTAAATTGAAAGTTGACGTTGGTTATCACATCGGTGCATGCATTGTGCAAAATTCTCCGGATATTAATATGATTAATTCTTTTTCAATGGATTACGTACACTCAATTTGAATAAGTATCATGAATATTAGGAATTTATGGTGCTATGGCAAACCTTCCACGGAAATCTCTGTTACGTCGCGTGAAATGGTCCGTACGACGTCCTTCACTGTCTGACCGTCAAGGTCCAATCACCAATAGATAGACCCTCAATAAACCTAAGGCCCCACCATGAACCAAATCTTATTAGCTTGCAGGAACCTTTAATCCTGCAAGTATTTTCGGTTTATAGCTGGTACTTAAAACAGTCCTTAGGTCTATTGCACGTTCTTGCAAATTACGGAGAAAGCAGGTAGTTACCTAATGGGAAAAACGAATAGTTGTCTAACGGAAAAGCTGGGTTTTCCCATAAACAAGGTCGCCCATGAGCCACGTTGGTAGGAGGCTCTTTCTTCCTATTTTCATTCCTAACGTTGGTCATAACCAATCGGCATTGCGGATCGTACCCTCACTTTCCTGACGAAAAGTGTGAGCAACGAATCTACGTTCTTCGTTCAAAGGGCATACCCTTACCGAGCTTTCCTCCGTAATCACATAAGAACGAACTTCACTTCTTCTACGACATCAGGAGGGTCAACTCAGCTTCTTCTACTTGCGCTCTAGACTTATACCACAGTAACATTCAA